TTGGGGAGTAAGGAATAGGAATAAACACTAGATAAAATGGTAATGTATAGTGAAAAAATGCAGTTGCGAATTTGTTAAGATTAAGATTGATTTAGATCCAGGTCTTGTACATTTAAAGAAAACAAATGATACAGAAGTACCTTTTTAATACAGGAAGGAAATTTAAGCTACATCAGCTTGCATCAGATGTTGGAAAAGCCATTGATTGTCTATGTAATGAATCATGTTTTGAGATGTGAATCTAACTCAGCGCTGTGTAGTGCTCACTTGGCACACAAAACATTTCCCTAATATTCCAAGTTTCAACAACACTTCATTAACGTGACACTTAGCACACAATTTCCATTTCCTCAAAGTGCCTACTTTTAACAGGCATCTCTACTGTTTCTTATTGTCACTTGCAGCTCCATCAAACATAAGTCACTCTTTATGGAATACGATGATAAAAGAGACAAATTTACAGCAGGAATAAACTATTTTATATCCTACTGGTGAAAACATTGTCTCTACAGCCAACCTTTCCTATCACAACTGCATAGGATAATAAGGATGGTAGGTCATTAATTTAAATAAAATTTTTATTTTACAATGAATTCATGCTAATTGTAAGCATTTGTTGTAGGAGAAGTTAGTTTGTATAGAGACATAATATCTAAATAATAATGATTGCTTTGGAAATAAAATTCCTTCCTAAAAGAAAACATTTTACTCCTAAAAGGTTGCTAAACTCCTGCCAAATAAGCACTTACTGAACTGAAAGAAACAAATGACAGAGGGCCACTGCCAATAGTTATAAAATAAATCTTATCTATCGATAAGAATCAAGTTGTTTTTCTCTAATCCACTCAATTTGTTGCTTGGCCCCTCAAACACGATTTGTGCCTCAATGTGTCTAAATTTGTCTTGATGAAGAACATTAGATATAAAGTGCTTTGAAAAACTATCTACTCCCTTAAAACTTTTGGGGTTTTTATTATTTATTTTTTGTCACATATAATCCATAAATGCGATTTTCCCCGAATTGGTAGTGTGGGCTGACAGTGATGTTATATTGAANCAGATCATTAAAATAACATTTTTACAAGATAATCCAAGAAAATAATAAAAGTGCTTTTTAAATGACAGTTTATTATAATAGTGGAAAAGCTTTAAACGACACAACTTACCTCTATGAAAAAAATTAACTGTTCTAAATCTCTGATAACTGTTTTTGCTGCCCTACCAAAAGCTACCATCGAGCATTTCATCTTCTTACATAATTGTTTATGAATTTTGAGAAACTCGTTGAAGAACAATTTATTTTAGCCATAATGGATTTTTTTAAGCATGAACACACCATTTGTAATAATTCTGTAGATCTCAATTGTATTTGGATTGACAGATAGAGGAGGCCACTCCAAAACTTTAGAGATTTATTTTAAATCAGCTTGAAAACTGGTGAAGTTATGACATCTTTGTTAGGTTTTTATGGCCTGTATTACAACCAGAGTTATCCTTGTCCAACATTGTAAAAATAGTATTTTTTAGCCTAAATAGTAACAAACATATTTTACTTTAGAATTTTCTGTTTGACATAAGAAATCAAACTTTGATCGATTTTTTTTTTTCATTATGCTGTGTTATTCTCCAACAACAATGTGGATCATAACTAAAAAGAAAAAGACTTTTCCCTAAGTAGTCTATATTTTTTTTTACAAAGTTCCTCAGGATTATTGAGATATTTTTTTTAGGCATGTTTTTTTTTTTTTTTTGCGAAGCAAAGCTTTTGCATAGTGCCATCATCTATCTGTTGCACAAGTTTTTAACACCATCAGACCAGAGCTGCTGAGGGGGAACCTGGAGTACGCTGGAGTGGACAGACATCTCGCTGCCTGGGCCATCAACTCTCTCACAGAACGCCCTCAGTACGTCTGGTTCCACGGCTGTCAGTCAGAGGTGGCAGTCTGCAGTACCGTGGCCCCAGAGGGCACCGTTCTGTATCTGTTCCTCTTCACCTTTTACACCTTAGACTTCACATACAACACAGACAACTGAAATTCTCTAGAAGTTCTCCAAAGACTTGACCATTGTAGGCTGTGTTCCGAGGAGAATGAGCTGGAATATTGATTGGTTATCATGAAAATGGTAGACTGGTTTGAGAAGAACCACCTGTCTCTTGACACCAGTAGAACCAAAGAGATGGTGATTGACTTCAGGAGAAGACCCCCACCTCACTCTCCTGTGAACATCCAGGGGCAGGACATAGAAACCGTTGAGAGTTTCAAATACCTGGATGTTTAAGTCAATAAACAAACTGGACTAGATTCATAACACAGACATCCTGTATAAGAAGGGCCAGAGCTGCCTCCACCTCCTGAGGAAGCTAAGATGCTTTGGAGTGAGCAGGCCCCTGCTTATAACCTTCTATGACTCTGTGGTGGCATCAGCCCTCCTCTACGCCGTTGTCTGCCGGGCCCGGAGCAGCGAAGAGCAGGACAGAAAGAGTCTGAACAAACAAGTGAGAAAGGCGGCTTCCGTCTTAGGCTGCACTCTGGACTCAATGGAGGAGATGGCTGAGAGGAGGGCGCTGTCCAGGCTTAAATCTATCATTGATAACACCTTACACTCTCTGGACCAGTCTGTAGAGGAGATGAGAAGCTCCTTTAGTGAAAGATTATTACACCCTGTTTTTAAAAAGGAGCACTACAACCACACTCTACAATATGACGCTACAACAGCAATAACTTGTGCAATGTATAAAGTGCAATTTTGCCATATGATACCCTGTGCAATAACCGGTTTCTCTATATTTGACACCCATTGCAATAACTAAATATATAAATATAAATATCCATCTATATAAATACCAATGTAAACACCTTGTGCATATATAGACACACTGCATGTACTGTATACTGTATATCCCACGCACCTTTTTTTGAGATCCTCAGAGCCGTTGTAGTGGGAAGTTGACACCCCACCCACGTCAAATAACTGCAAATAGACTGATTGGTCAGTGCCATGCTAGTGCAGTTTTTGATTGTGCTGCTTTTGTTTAAGAGATATTGACCATTGTATTTTAGATCATCCAGTGATCACCATCATCCCATTAAACTCTGAATTTTACCAAAGTGATCTACTTTTTTAGTGCTTCATTTGTGCAGGTCTGTGCCGTTAAAACGGACATGTGTGCTGTTCTATTTTTCAATTCCGTAAAAATTCAAAAAATATCCACTGGACTTGGTCTCCAAGATTTTTTCAAGATGTAATTAATTTAAAATGCTAGAACATATGTGGCTTGAGTGTGTCAGCAGTTCCTTCATAATGAAGGCATTGAAGCTATGGCCCACCAGTTCTCAAGACCTGAAACCGACTGAACAGATCTTTGACATAATGTTTCAATCCATCCACCAATGTCACATTACAACACAGACTGTTCAGGTGTTGGCGGATGCTTTAGTCCAGGCATCCCCAAACTCGGTCCTCAAGGCCCCCTGTCCTGCAGGTGTTAGAGGTTTATCTGCTTCAGCACAGCTGGTTATAATGATTGCAGTAGACCAAAAGCCTGTTGTTCAGCTTTCAAGTAAAATCAGCTGTGCTGGAGCAAAGAAACCTCTAAAACCTGCAGGACAGGGGGCCTTGAGGACTGAGTTTGGGGATGCCTGCTTTAGTCCATGTCTGGGAGTAGATCCCTCAGAAGACCATCCACCACCTCATTAGGAGCTTGCCCAGGCATTTTAGGCAGGTCATACAGGCACGTGGAGGACACACAAAATAATCTTTAAGGTTTTGATATAAATGTGATGCAATACTTTTGGCCAAGGAATTTTTTCACACTTGATATTTTCATCCAGTCTTTGTTTCTGTCAGATCCCTAACAGTAACATTTACTGTTGATTGATGACCTCATGGATGAGGTGTCCAGGTGTTCTTGGAGTAATTTTGGTAAAGCTGAGAAGGTTCACCACTGTTCCATATTATCTCCTTTTGTTGATCATTTATTTCATTGTGGTTCCTAGTAGTCCCAGTAGCATGCAACTGCTAATTTCTGTGTACTATTTGAATAAAGGTAGGGGGAATCAGACTTCCATGTAATAGCAATACATTTTCTAGCTACTTTCAGAGCTATTCCAAAAAATGGAAAATATGGTATTTGTTCAGGGGTTCCGTTTTAACAAAATTCCCAATGAAACATTGCTCAGGATCTAGAGGTGTTGAGATCTTGGTAATGGTAGATAGAGTATTACATAAATCCTGCAAAAAATGTTTAACTTTCACACATGACCAAGTACAATGTAAGAATGAGTTCTATTGCACATTGAAAGCATACTTCAGACAATTTAGGTTTAGACCTGTGAATTTTCTCTGGAGTCGGGTACAATTGATGAAGGAAGTTATAATGGGTAAGCCTACGTATATTGTGAATTTATTATTTTGACATAAATCAAACCAAAGGTTTTCTTCAATCGCAATGTTTAAGTCTGATTTCGACCTTTCCTTAGATCTATGCAAACCTGGTTTAGGATATTCTTTTATCAACACAGAATACACTTTAGATGCAAATCAACATGGAAGCACAAATTTTTAAGATTTTTAACTCTACCTTATTATGTAAGAAAGGTGCAAATAATGGACTTTATTGTACTGTTCTGGTAGTACTTAGGTTGTGAACAAAAACATTACTGTCAGTTATGCCAAAGGAGACAATTATTTTATTTTAATTATAAATGAATAAGAAGTTAGTTTTGATTGCTCTGCCAGCTCTATGCATAAAATAATCTACACATTTTTTTCTATTCATTTAGGTTATCCCTGCTGAAATAAAATTCTCATAAAGCTAAAGATTACAAAGGCTGAATGATCTTACTGTCCTTAGTGATACAGTGAGGAAGAATTTTGGCATCCTTTAAATTTATGCACACAATCTAGAGCTTCGCTTTTTGGCTAATCGGAATGCCTAATCAGATAAAGACCGGTTGACTGATTCTAAACATATGTCTTTCTGTTCTTCTCTTCCTCAGGTGATTCAGACCATCAGTGCAGTGGATAAGGATGAACCGCTGAGCGGGCATCGCTTTCATTTCGCCCTTGATGCCTCCGTTGCTGGAAACATGAACTTCACCCTGCGAGATAACAAAGGTACAACTGCCTTTTTGTGCCACTCTTTGATAATGTTCAAAGATAGTGATTTACTTTAAAGTGTGAATTTATAGAATATCTAAGACACAAACATGCCTAGAAGTTTGTGAGTTTTTGCTTCTAAAAGCGCCAAATGGACAACAGAATCATGCATCATGATTTAAGGCTGTGTAAAATAAAATTAAGGATGTGTAAAATTTCCTGCATATTCTGTACAGTATATTACCTGCTTCTGTCACTTGAAGAATACTATTGTATCTTATTAAAAGTCCTGCGGTATATGTATATATTTTATATTATTAGAGCAGTCAGTTCATTCTTAGCATTTAAAAAAGCTGGAAAATTCACAATAAATTTAAACGAGTTCAAGATAGAAGTGGGAAACCATAAAACGAATAACAATTTATTAATGATTATATTTACTCATTTCACTCATTCAATCAAAGTTTCTAACATGTGTAGCTCATTAAAAGCTACCTCACAGCATCGCAATAAGAGTTGGATCTGACTTGTGACCTTGGCTAGAACTTTTATTTCTCAATTCTCTCCCAGTTCTTCATAGAGTGACTGATATATTTTGGGTTATTGTCATGTTTCAAGGTCTAGCTCTGCTTGAACTTTTTTTTTCTTTTTTACAATTAGGCTTACATTTTTCTCAGCACCCTCTGAAACATAGTAGAATTTGGTGAATTATATAATGATAACCTGATATATACAAATATCAAAAACACTTTTACTTCTGAGATCTGCAAGGTTCTTCTCTTAAAAAGCTGTATTTGGTTCTCTCAGTTTTAGAGTTATCTGTACATTAGATAGAAATCCGGAAGCCGTGATCTTTGTCTGAATTCTCTCTGATAGTTTAAGGTTTAGTGGATGAAGTTCTTTTTCAAGGTGGATCATCATAATAAGTGGTTCTCTTATTGTCAATCATGCTCTGGATATGTTTACTTAAGGCCGTCCTACGTGCCCGTTTCCACTTTCACTTACCGGTGGTGAGTCTGACATTGTGGAAAATTTTCAAATCTTTTGGAAAGTGAGCCTGTATGAGCGATGCAAACATCAACTTCTAAACAGTGTGCACGAGGAGAAATGGGCTTGTGCATGCTCTTGCATGTGTTTAATAGGCGTTCCGTCTCGTGAGCAGGTACAGGGTTGTGCATTTGCATCCGCCCTCAGTGGAGGGGGCGGGTCTTTTCAAAAATTAGCAAAAATCCTCCACTATACTTTTAACCTTTAAGTTCAGCTTGCCTATGTTTCTTTCTGGAGATTAAAGGTTCAGTCCTTGTAGTCTTCCCAAAATAGTTAAAGTTCTCCTAGGTCCCATGATGACATCTGAGGGTGTTTGGAGACTTCTGAAGGTGAATTCCTCTTTGGGTAGATGTGGTTATGCAGAAAAAGCTGAGCTGGTTGGCGTTGTTTTGGGTCTCCACATAAAGACTATTTTCCAACCATAGAAATGAAAATCTCATCAAATCCTTACCAGATACACAAGCTGTCATTTTCTGTGTGAATATTTCAGATAGCTCCTTCAATCTCACCATGTTGTTAACTTTCACTTAAACAGTTGGACATCTGAGGTCTAAAAAGTGTAAACCAACTTTAAGATGTTCTGACGTGATTTGATACACCTGTGTGGGATTTTAACCATTTTAAGACCGAATAAAGATATCCTAATTTAATTCTTCACAGGTGTACAAAATGAAAATGCATTTAGTAAATTACAATTTACTTATAATGTAATAAAATTTTAAGTTTTTTTATGGAATAGGAACGTACAGTTTTGTTAAAACTTTATTTAAAATCCATTTGTTGCAATGTATAAGAAAACCACAGGATTTACAGATTTTTTTGTCACATTAAGAGTATGTTACAGTTGTTTGTTGCTTGTTTTTTTATTCAGCCTGTCAACGTAATTCACTCTGCTTGTCTTACTATAACTCTATAAAAGATCCACCACCTACGCCCCATTTCTGTTTATCAAGACTCAAAGCAAAATCAACAAAACTATATGTGACATCCTTCTATTTGTGACACCATGTGGTTAGAAACAACATTCTTTTGCTAAATCACAATGTATCTTTAACCTTTGCACACGACCAAAGCTGTCTTTACATTGGCATAATCTTCATGCCACCTACACATAAAAGTGGGTGGAAAACTTCATTTTAATTTCTACATCGATGTATTGGCTCATGAGAGTAGAACTTGACTCTATGATTATGTGCTTTCACAAATACCTGGTGCTTTGATGAAGAAAAAAAAACCTGTTTAGAGCTGATAGACTCTCCGAGGCGATGCCCTGTGTTTAGTAGTTCATTCACCTGTGTGGGAGATGACTTGAGGCTGTCTTCATACCTCTCTGAAGGTGTAGCAGGCGCCACGCTGTGTCAAAGTAATCCACGTAAGTGCAAACATGTGTGAGACACTAAAGTGTATGTTCAAGATAACCAGAAGGCAGATTGAAAAGAAATGGCAGGGGGAGATTACCAGGGAGCCTGATGGAGAAATGTTCTGTGGCATATGAATTTCTGTGGGAACTAATAATCCATCAATTGTTTTTTTTTTTAACTCTGTAATTTAGATCATATGTACTTTTTTTCAAAGTTTAATCTAAAGTCTAAAGTCAGAAACCAGGTTGTCTGCATGTGTGTCGCAGTGAACACATATATGCCACCGCTCCTTCCACAGACACTCTGGTGCACCTCTCCAAAATTGTAGGTGACTGCAGACAGTGCCGCAGACAGGAGGCCTCTGATTGGTCAAACCTACATCCATTCTACACTATGCATATTTCCTGTTTGGTACCTTACCGGCTTGTTTTATTTGTATGACCGCTGTTGTGGAAAACGACTTCTGAAGATGGACCAGCTAGAAGAGCAAGGTGTGTTAGAACACTGAGATCCTTTTTCCACCTGGAGCCCCGCTCTTTTTCGCACTCATGTCCATCCGTTGTCACACAAACTTGCCCATTCCGTTTTTCCACTTCTTCACCTGCTCGGCCATACCTCGACCCACAGCTAGTTCACTGTCCTTGCTTTGTGGCATGGAATAACATAGCGCAGACCACGATTCAATATTTGCTATAAATCAGAAATATCTGCGACAAGCTCACTGCAACACACTGCTGTTAGAGTATAACCAGCCCTGAAGGGCTCAGAGGGCTATTGACAAATCTAGGCTTCATTTTAGAGTGGAAATTGTCATTTTTTTAAACTTGCATACTGCTAGATATTAATCATTTTTCACATGGGAAGGAATAAACTTCTTTGTTATTTTGCATAGATTTAGCACTGTATTATCAAAGTTATGAACTCAAAATACTTTAGCATACAAAGAGGATATGTGCAATTTAGTGTTTCAATTTGTTGTTGTCCCGTTCAGTTAGAGGAGTCTACACTAATGTACGATACAAAGCAATCTATAAGAACATAAATGAGTAAGTTTTCATGAAATAATTGACTTGTCAACACACAGTTTTTATCCTGTGTGGTCAAACAACTTAGAGCTCATGAAACATTGCTGTCTAACCTCACAGATGCAGCTGTTCATTGAAAATTTCTGTAATATGCTCTTTAAGCTTTTTGAAAGCTACCTAAGAAGAGCAGGGGAAACAGTCTCAGCAGAGACTCCCAGAGGTTCTTTCCCTAGATACTGTCTTCAGCTCTGCTGAGGAAAACCTGAAGTGCTCCCAGGCCAGAGATATAGTCCCTTCCCATCCCACCTTCTAAGGGAGGCGTCCATTGGCATCCAAAAAACATGTCAGAGCTAACTCAGTTGATTCCTCTAGATGTGGAGGTGTCTTTACTCCATGCCTCTCCCACATAACCAGGCTTCTTAATCCCTAAGGGAGTGTCCTGCTACCCTGCAGAAAAAGTGTCACAATGTCAACTGCTTATATGCTGGAACTTGTTATTTCTTTCAGATTTCATGACCAGATGTGAGATTAGAAACATTGGCCAACCAGCAAATCAAGAGCTTTGCCTTTTGGCTAAGCTCTCTTCACAACAGACTACTGCAACATCTGCATTATAGCTACATATTTGCATTTTCGTTCTTTTCACTAGTTAGAACACTTTTCTTTGAAGCTGAATGGCGTCCCAGCAAACATACCTTATAGATAGCATTGGGGCTCATCCATGTTATTGTAGGACATCTGATGACCTTCCGGAGTCAACATCCAAAATAAATGGTTTTGAGTGGTGGCATGATGAGAACAGTTTATTGTCAGAGAAAAAGTTTTGGTGGGTTTCAAATACCTGCATTCGCTTCATATTCACTGAATATGCTCCAGGTGGAGGAAAAATAGCACTTTCTTGTTGGTTTATTGAAAGTATGTGGAAAATAAATTTCAGTATTTTAAAAATAATATTCAACAAGCCATTTTTTGATGTGTTAATTCAATGTTATTACATTTTTTAAATAAAAACACAAGAAATCTGAGGATAGTACCAAAGATTAGTAGTCCCCATATGTCTCACCAAAACCTCTTTAAATTTGCTGTAATTTACACTAGATGCATTAACATTTGCACAGCTGATGCCTAACAGTGGATCAAGGGTTTCCAAAGGTTTTTAGCCTTTTTAATTATATTTCCTTCTGGGTGCTGAAAGCAGAATCTGGAGACAGGATAAATCCTCATGTTGCTCCATCTTAATTTTTTTTGGAACAATAGCAGCTGCTGTAATACGTACACTTCCCATGTTTTAGCTTCCGTCTGGTACCAAGATTATTTAAAATAGTTTTTAGTGGCTGCAAAAACCTCAGTTAGCTTTCCAGGTGCTATTTTGAGCACAGACTTTTGGAAGATCTCTTCAGACTTAAGAGGTTAGGACCATAAAACCTTTTTTTGTTATTAAAAGTGTTTGGTTGCTTCTGTCCCTTGACTCTGTCCCTCATACTAAGATTTGACACAAATCTTTACCATCAAACCAAACCACTTATTAGCCAACATGGTCAAGACCAGAGAAAGGAACCACAGGGTGTCATATAATAAACTGTGCTCATGATACGTTCTGTTAGCTTTTCTGCTTGATTTAAGATTTAAGAATGACCAAACAAAGTAGGTTGAATGTTTTCTGCTGTTTGTACCTTGAACGGATATATCATGACACAGACTTTTCGCTCTTTTGCAGACAATACAGCATCCATACTGACAAAGCGAGGCGGCTTCAGGAGACGGGAGCAGCCAGTGTATCGATTGCCAGTGTTGATCACAGACAATGGAATCCCTGCCCTCAGCAGCACAAACACACTGTCTGTGCGAGTGTGCGACTGCGACTCTGACGGCGTGGCCCTGTCTTGTGGAGCAGTGGCCTACACAGCTACAGGCCTTAGCACTGGTGCCCTCCTGGCCATTCTGGGCTGCATTATCACACTTCTAGGTAAGATCTGGATGACCTTAGTGTGAGAAATGTAATGTATATGTTACATGTTATATGTATGTATTGTCTTAGCTGTGTTCCTAACCGCAATGGTCTGAGTGGACTATTTTAAAATTAGAATAAGGTTACAGATAATGTTTTAAAGCTTATTTTCCCATTATTTAGCTCTTTACCTCAGATGAAAAAAGTGGCCTAACAAAATGAATCCAGGTACGATAGTGTATAAAAAGTGATTATTTCAATAAATATATATCACGGTCTTGGTTCTGTTTAGGTTTTTTTTAGTTTTCAGTTTCAGTTTGATCCATGTTTTTCGTTGTTTTCTAGTTTTATTGGTTTATTTCCTATTTTGTGATGTTTTCTGGATGCATTTGAGTTCTTAGGTATTTCTTGATTGCCCATTGTTGCTCTCTGGTGTTGGTCACTTTCTAGAATCCTCTGTTCACACCTGCTCCCAATCAGCTCATTAGTCCTGTCTTTGTTCAGTTTCCCATATATATTCTCCCTGTGCAGTTCCTCAGTGCTGGTTCCTTGTCTTTTCCTGGCCCCTAACCTGAGCTTTCCCCTGAAGTAGTCTGTTTTTCAGTTCTTTGTATGTTGTATTTTGGTTTTTGGATTTTTGCCTCAGAAATGTCATTAAATCTACAAGAACTCAACTCTGCCCCCTTACCTCTGCATTTGGGTCCTCAAAACCTCAGCTCAACCCTGACAATATGACAATATGCGACTTATATGTGATCTCCTGTGTAAACTGCATTCATACAGCTTAAGTGTCCCGCATGCGCAGTAGAGGATGCAATGACATCAGAAGCCAGCATGTGTCGTGTTTACGGAAGTAAACGCGTATGGTAGGCTGGTGCGCATCTAGCGATCTTTCAAAACCTTAAAACCTCAATCTTTTCAAGATGGTTAAAAAAAATACTGCTCTGTGCATCGTCATCCGCCATGGTGTTTGTTTTTCTTACCACTTCTGTATAGCAGGAAGCAGAATAGTAACCTATGTCGGTTACTAATGGCGTTCAGGTCAGATGAATGCGACCTGATCGTTCACAAACAGGTCACATTTGAAAAGATCAGATTCGTATCGGATTCAGGACCACATAGCCAAGTGGCCTGAGTCGCATTGGAAAAGATCAGATCTGTGTTGTTCAGACTGTCATGAAAAGATCAGATCCAGGTCACATATGGGAAAAATAATCGTATTTGGGTCACTTCAGGCTGCAGTGTGAACGTAGCCTACGAGGGTAGTGACTCAACCATTATGTCATATTATTCCTTTTTTTGAAGACTTTACATCACACTTTTTTAATTTTATTGTTATTACAATGCCCAGCAGACTTATAAAATAGATTCACTTAAAAACATTCACCATTAAGGCAGTTATGAAAGATCCCAATGGCAGGTAATAATTGATGCAAAACAACTTCAAGTTTTGTATTTTCAGCTAAAGAGTACAGAATGAGAGAAATGAATAGCAGTGATTCACAACACATCCTCTAAAGGCACTTTTCAGGGTCCATTAAATCTGATCATACAGAGAGACGGCCAACATCTCATATGATGATATTTTAAAGCTTAACTGGCCAATAACTGATACTGATATTTTTGTTCCTAGACCTACTTACAAACACTAAGCAGTGTTTATCCTTATGTCCTGTCTAGAAATTGCAAATGGCACTTCAGCTATGTCTCCCTTAAACTTTAAATAACACCCACACCAGTTAAGTTTTAAAGTACAGGTGCTGGTCATAAAATTAGAATATCATGAAAAAGTAGATTGATTTCAGTAATTCCATTTAAAAAGTGAAACTTGTATATTATAT